GATGATAGAACTGCACCCAGACGTTGTGCGGCAGAATGTGGCGCCTGACCACGGCCATCGCCATTTCCACAAGCATGCCCAGCAAGGTGGCGCGATTGTGGTAGACAGCGTAGACAGGTGTCTGAAAGAAGCCGGCGAGGTGGTGCAAGCTGGGCTGGGTCCCGAGCAGGTTGTCGAAATCGGAGAGCTGGTCATGCTGAAGCGGGATGCAGAGAGGAGACGGATGGAGTGCATGGCTAGTAAGAAGATGGAAGATGAAGGCCTCGATGTGGGTGGTGTCGAGCTGGGCGAGTGCGAGGCGGCTAAGAAGAAGAGACGAAGTGGGAAAGACAAGGAGAAAGACAAACACCACGAGAGCGAGGACAAGGCGCATAAAAGCCTGATAGAGTGGTTAGTCAAGGGCAACGTAATATACAAAAGCGTAGGTTTGGGTTTGATGGATGTTGTGGTCGGCGGCGAGCTGGTCAATTTGGCGAATGCACGAAACATTGGTACACGGATTGACAACTTTTAGAATGAGTTGCCTCGACCGTACTCAGGAATGGCAATACCTACAGAACACTCTTGTGAATGCAGCCAGCTTTAGCTAAAGCAGCAAGTCCGACAAATGTATCAGTACCTGATATGCAAGAATTGAGCCAACAACATCACATCACATGATTAGTGTAGAATTGGCGTGCGTTATCAAATCGATTCCAGTCAATGTAGTCGTTAGCGACTTCTTTTAACCCTCCTAAACTCCGTTGGTATTGTGAACCGCATACATGCAGAGATAAGAGACACGCCATAAAGTCATCATGAACCCTTCCAAACACCTCAAGACACGCTTAGATCTTGATGGCGTTCTCAACAGCCTTCCTGCGCTTCTCCATGCGAGCGTTGGCCTTGGCACCCATGATACCACCACCCCAGTGGCGGGAGGCATCCTTGTGGTGTGACTCGAGGTAACCGTCGTTGACAGCGGTGACGAGCTTCTGGAGCTCGTTCTTGTCCTCGGAGCGGACCTCGGTCAGGGCCAGGACGGCGGCGGTCTTCTGGTGAACGACCGTACCGAGACGGGCCTTGCCCTTGACAATGACGTATGGGACACCCATCTTGCGGCAGAGAGCTGGCAGGAAGATGACGAGCTCAATGGGGTCGACATCGTTGGCGATGAGAACAAGGGAAGCCTTCTTGTTCTCAATGAGGCCGACAACGTGGTTCAGACCGTACTTGGCGACGTAGGGCTTCTTGGAAACATCCTCCTTCTTCTTGCCCTCGGCGACGGCGGTAGCCTCCTTGGTGAGCCTCTCCTTCTTCTCAGCCTTGGTCTCGGGACGGTACTTGTTGAGGAGCTTGAAGGACTGGGTGGCGCTGAATATGGGGGTTAGCTATCGAAGACGAAAAATGGTAGTGGGTAACATACAGGTTACGGTCGGCAACGTGCTGGAACTGAGCGATGCTGGATCAAAGTCAGTCTTGGGCCATTGTGTAATGTTTACTGGTGGGAGACGAACGAAGGAGGGACCTTCAGGCGCATGTTGAGGATCTTCTTCTGGCGCTGAAGGCGGACGTAGGCTGGCCATCGGACCATGCGGCCGAGGTTGCGCTGGGGCTGGATGTCCTGGCCGATGCCATAGTTGCGGGGCCTCTTCTCGATGAGAGGGTTCTATCTTGGTTAGCTGAAAAGTTTGATAGAGGACTAAACGTGCGCAATTGGGTTGAATTGGTGGTTGGAAAGTAGAGACGGCGAACGGAAAAGCTTGTGCTCAGCAGCAAAGGCAGTATTTGATACGGATGGAGAGAGGGGGAGACTCACCTTCTGCTTCTTCGCCGCAGCCGACTTAGAAGTGGCCTGGGGGAAAGCCGCAGGCTTCTTACCGCTTCCTTTTGGTGGCATTTTCTGTCATAGAGAACAAACCATTAGCGAATGTTCACGCATTTTCGGTTTGAATCTCGTAAGAGCGAGAAGGGCCTTGCGGCCGTTCTACAACTCTAGCCATCCTCGCGCTGCGTACTCTTGCGTATGCAGAGAGATGCGGCGGAAATGCTAACGAGCATTCATTGCGTGGAAGTGCGCTTACGTTGTGTGTTGGCGGCGGTCGACGAAATTGACGTTGGCGAAATTGGGCTTGACGAAGAAATCGAGAGCGGGCGCAGAAGTCGCTCCTACCGAAATCCACGCGAAGCGAGTGGGCGCGGAGGCGGAACAATATTTAACCGACGCTAACGCTCTGCCCAATCGGAGTGCGGCAAGTCCCTCTACCACGACAACCCGAATCGCAACATGAAGAGCGTATCAGAGTCTCCTAGACAACGCTCAACTAGTCGTCTAGTTTTATTGTTTTGTCTGTGGAAAGCCATTCTCCTCACACTTGCAGCATTCTGTCCAGGCCCTGGGTACGACACATCTGGGCTCATACTGCTTGATACAAGCGTGCAGCGTCACAGCCATTTTAATGCCTCTACACGCTTTGAGCGATTCGTACTCAATCTGCTCCGATGGGACGCTTTGTACTTCGTAAAGTCAGCTGAGCGTGGGCTGATCCATGAACAAGCATGGGCTTTCAGCGGGGTGTACTCGCGTTTCCTAGGCATAACGGTTCAATGTGAGTAAGAAGCATCTACTGTTTCTGGACGAGTGCTGATTGCCAGCAGTCGTGAGTGGAAGCGTAACGCCTCCGCTCCACTACTACGTGCTGGCTGGTATCATTGTTTCCAATGCTTGCCACCTCATTTCTGTGCTAGTGCTGCATCGTCTCCTGACCCTGGTTCTGGAACCGCAACGACAAAAGACAATCCCCTTTGTGGCGGCCATTCTGCATGTTTTGACACCTGCATCTCTGTTCATGTGTGCACCATATGCAGAGGCCATTTTTTCTCTCCTAAACTTTACGGGTATGCTTCTATATGCCCAATCCAGGACCATAGCTAGAAGCACAGCCTTTTCGATTCAGGAAGACATCCAAAAGGTCGGCGCTGGTCTTTTCTTTGCCGCCGCGACCCTTATGCGGAGCAATGGCTTATTTAGTGGCACTATATTATTATACGATGTCGTGAGATATCTTTTTGCCCTTGCGTCTACGCAGCGGAGCATTCATGACGTAAGGAGGACCCTTGTCACTTGTATTTCAGGTGGCCTGATTGCCGTGGCTTTTATCGGGCCGCAGTATCTTGCGTATACAGAGTTCTGCAATGGAGAGAGTAGCGCTCCAATCCGACCATGGTGCGAGAAACGCCTCCCAAGCATTTACTCGTGGGTACAAAGCCATTACTGGTAAGTGGCCTCGATCAGATGCTTACTGTTCTAATCTCTTTTCAGGAATGTGGGACTTTTCCGGTACTGGACTGTATCGAATTTGCCCCTGTTTGTGCTAGCAGCACCGACTCTATGGCTTCTGTTTACCTCGAGTGTTACCCTTCTCTGCAGCTGCGCCGGGGATCTGTTGCCTAGAACCCCTGCTTCTGGAACCAGCGTTACGCAGGATACAGGTTCTGCCATATGCAAGTTACCTGAATTGGCACTCCCACAATTATTGCTGGCTATCTTGGCTGTCACAACTTTTCATGTTCAGATTGTCAATCGCATTGCCTCGGGCTATCCTGTTTGGTACCTGATGGTTGCGACATGGGTGGTAGACTCGCAGGGATTGTCTTCCACGAAGAACCGTTCGTCGTGGGCGCAATGGTTCGTTCGCGGTATGGTCGTTTACTCACTAGTTCAGGGTGTGCTTTATGCGAATTTTCTCCCGCCAGCATAGGATTTTAAATTAATGGCCTTTCTTAGTGAAAGACGGTATTTGTTGAACTCAATCATAGTGCTTTTTTTTCAAATAAACCAATGAATCAAAGTGCATCCATGTGCAGCCCTGAAAGCTCTTTCGGTTGATCAAAATAGTCTTAGGTGGAGGTTTCACCCAGCAAACATGAGCAAGATCAAGATGCTGGATGATTGAACTTGCAGTCGAGGTGTGACGGTATTAACTCGTTGTCTCTATCCTCCATACTGGATATTGATAGATGAGTATCAGGACTTGATGAATGGAAATGTAACATAGCTGCGTAAACACGGTCGCGCAGACATTGGCGGCATTCAAAGCGTGTAATCTGACTGTGAAGCGGCCAACTCCCTGCATTTGGTGCGACACACTTTGCCGCTATTCAGTACGCCCATTCCAAGCCACACTTCTGGTACCGTCCAGACTCTAAACTACTGTGCGTTGGGCTACCAACTGAGTGTCAGCTGGTATGTGGGATCCCAGTGCTATGGTTCTGGATTTTCCACCAGGCCCAGTGCTGCTATGCATCTTTACAAAGGCAGGTAGAGACGGTACCCTACAGCAAACGTCTCGTGTCACGGCTCGAAGCGAGCAGTGATCAGCAATGCGACCTTGATAACAAGTATTTGACGAGCCTGGCTTTTGCGTAACAGCTTTTGCACATCATCTTACTCTAGGATTTGTTAAGACAGGAGTTCCCCTATTCGTGGCGGTGGCGTGCTATGGATGCCCCATTGAGTAGTGGTGTCAGCCTGTCTCTGCTTACTGTAGATTGTACGCCTGGGAATGTACATAGTACCTGCATAAGCTGCAGGAGCCAAGTGCCTGATAACGCCTTGGTTTACAGCCTAATCTCCAACCACAGAATACTACGTACGTGGCGGCTGCAGCCATGGGCTAGTTGGCTTGCAACACTGTTGTCTATGACCAGCGCCCGGCCGCCACTGGCGACACTGGAGCAGCACACCAACGCCCGAGTTCGGCATGTGTCGCTCGAGGGAAATACATCTAGGCTGAGACTTGCAAGAAGGCGTTACTGGCACCGGACCAATGCCAGGGAGTGGAGCAAGATTGGCATGCTTGGACTGATGAGGGTAAGGTTTCAATAGCAGAATTTCGGATACCAGCCCTGAAGTATAACGGGACAAATGTATAAATTCTGCTCTGCTGCTCGACAATCGTGGTTGGGCCCACAGCATTGACTGTGAGATATCTACAATCGCAATTGACACCAAGGCCAAAATGAAATTGTCTACCTTTGCTACCCCCTTTGCTCTTTCGACGGCTTTAGCAGCCGTGCTGGAACCCAGGCAACAGTGCTCCTCGTCGGACGCTTGCTACAGTGCCGTCTTTGGCGGTGGCGACTTCTTACGTGTCGTTCAGGCAGTGGAGGACTGTGAGGACTTCCTTACTACCAGCGTGATTTGGCACCCCATGTACGTGAACGCGGTCCTTGGAGATGTCTACTTGGAGCTCAGACTGATCATGTTTACTGCAGTATTACTCTTACAGTTCTCAGTCAGACTGTCTCAACGACGACTTCACCATGTCCGCCCACTGTACCTGTGACGCCGAGCGAGGCACTGCCCCAGTCGACATTGTCGCAGGGCAAGCGACTAGTGATGCGCCAGGCTCTCCCTACAGACTTCTCCACCACAACCGTGTTTGGACCGCGGCCTTCGTATGCTACACAGGCCTGTAACTCTGGAGCCTACTCGTCTGCTTGCTCGTGTGCAAACATTACTACCGCTTTGGTGTCTTATCTCGGAACAGTAAGTCAGCTCGTAGATATGGGGGGAGACTGGAAAGAAAGAGAGTATGTGTGATGCTAAGTCATTGCTAGGTTGTGACGAATACAGCCACGACTACAATTACTTCGATCGTGACCACCAAGGCGTCTTGCCCGGGTGTCTCTGTGTCGTCTGCGTCGTCTACTTTGACTTCGTTGTCTTCGACGTTATCTAGTAGCAGCATGGTGTCGAGTATGGCTTCTTCTAGCAGCACAAGCAGCTCATTATCTAGTTCGGCTTTGTCGTCCTTCTCACAATCTAGTAGCAGCACTAGCAGCGCATCGTCGAGTCCAACGACATCCTCAACTGGCCCAAGTAGTGCATCTGTTAGCAGCACAGTCAGCACCTTGTCTAGCTCAGACACGTCTTCGACTGAAAGCAGTAGCTCATTGGTTAGTACATCGGCTAGCGTGACAAGCAACTTTAGTAGCTCGAGTGTTACGATGACAGGATCAAGCTCATCGCCTACAAGTCTGAACAGTCTATCTAGCACTGGAAGCGAAGTTGGTCCGTCGACTAGGCCGAGTAACTCAGTTAGCAGCTCAGCAAGCAGTTTGAATGGCACGTCATCAGGTACAAGTGTGAGGGCTACTAGCAGTGCATCAGTATCAACGGGTAGCTCGTCTAGTAGTTTGATTGGGTCGTCTTCAGCCACGAGTGTGGCGTCTAGTACTGGCTCATCAACATCTCCCAGCAGCTTATCCAGCAGTTCGTCTAGCAGTTCGAACGGGACAAGCGTAGTTCCGACAAGCAGCCCTTCGGCAACGTCGAACAGCTCGTCAGTTGCCCCGAGTAGTGCATCCAGTACTAGGAGCAGTTTGATCAGCGTTTCAAGCAGTCCATCTGCTACTTCTGAGAGCTCTCTGATGTCTTCGAGTAGCCCGTCTTCATCATCGTCGGTTGTGGCTACAAGTTCGTCGAACAATATTACGTCATCAACAACTGCTTCTATCAGCAGCAGCAGCAGCAGCAGTGCGACTTCCTCTCAACTATCAAGCATTAGTTCATTGTCGGATTCAACTAGTAGTAGCTCAGGCTCGTCGACGGTTAGTAGTGCGTCGGTTAGTTTGAGTAGCAGTAGCAGCAGCAGCATCACCAATAGTGTGTCATCGTCGTCTCTTGCCTCATCCGTATCCGGTACGTCGGCGGCGTCTTCAACGACAGTCACGTCAACAAGCGCATCGACAAGCAGCGCAACGCCCAGCGGGCAACCGTGTGAGGGGCTTGGGGTGGAGCGGTGCGAGGGCGTGTGCCGCGACACGACGTCGGATGCACTGAACTGCAGGCGGTGCGGCAATGCGTGCACAAGTGGGCGACAATGCATCAACGGCGTATGTGCATCTCGGCCCTGCGACTCGACCTGCAACTTTGACCGACTGTGCGGGTCAGGCAGCGGGGGGTCGACACGGTGCATTTGCGCGACGACAATCGAGGGCAACGGCGTATGCTTTGACAAGAACCGGTACAGCTGCGGCGACGTCAATCTTGTGAGGTGCCAGAGAAGCGTGTTGGGGCCAGAGGGGTGCCCGATTGGGACGGTGTGTGTAAGGGACGTGTGCAATTGTGGCGCTGTGCCGGCGGCCGGCATTTGTGTGTCCACAAGCGGATGTGGGGAGTCGGGGACGAATGTCTTGGGCAGTCTGGTCAGGATTGGGGAGATGGAGAGGCGCAGGAGGGCGGCAAGGGGCGTGGGAGGGTGAGGCATGGCAGAGGGCGCAGAGGAGCAGACATGTCGAGGAGGGGAGGTGGTGGGTGTGTGGTGGTGGTGGGTGTGTGGTGGTGGTGGGTGTGTGGTGGTGGTGAGGGTTGGTGGGGGTGCACGGGGCTTGTTGGTTGCTTGTTGCATACAAACACAAATGGACGATGAAGATATACAATATGTGCACACACATATATACACAGGCGATGCCGGCAGGCACCAGGCTGCACCAGCGCGATCGGGCAGGTGCTGGCGGCCGAGAGGGCGTGTTGTTGTTGTTTTTCTTGTTATTTGTTGTCGACGGGAATCGAAGCGAGTGGCCGAGGCATGAATTTGCACGTCGATAAGAGTTAGCGGAAGGACGGTGGCATGCATGGGCGTTTGCTCCCCGGGCGGCCAGGACACGCTCTCCACGTTAGCGCGGCGTTGCTGGGACGATTGCCCGCAATGTTTATCCACCAACTCGGCAGGGCATAGCCGGCCCATGCAGCCAGTGCGACCACAACCACAACCACACCCACACCCACATCCACACCCACCATCATTTGTCTGCCATGTCTGCCCTTCTGCTGCCCTAGACCCGTTCACCCCGTTTCAAGTCCCCCCTTCCTCTCCTTTTCTTGCCTTCTTCTTCTTCTTGCCTGGAGCCTCACCCCAAGGCCGCGCCGGACATGGCTGCTGCTACCACCACCACCACCTCCGCCGCCGCGGGTGCTGCTGCCGCACAATCACCAGCACCACCAACAACGGGCCATCGCCGCAATCGCTCCGCGGTCCTGAGATCCCTTATATCGTCCAGGGGCCACAGGCGCTCGCCCACAGAAGGCTCTGCCGTCCCATACACACCAGTGTCCGCTTCGCCGCCCTTCCTGCCCGCCCCCAGCCTCCAGCCGCCACTGCTCCCGCCAGACCACCCTGACAGCGCCAACCCGTCATCACCCCGCAAGTCCAACGACGCCCGCTCCACAAGTACCAAGAAGAGCCTGCACAAAAAGTCGCTCAGCTCCGTGTCGCTGCGCTCGCTGGCAAAGCGCACTGACGACAAGCCCAAGGAAAAGAAGTCGTCCGACTTGAGGCGGTCGCAGGACGAGCCAGAAAAATCCCCCCGCCCCAAGTCGTCCACCAACCTGGCTGCCATGTTTAGCAAGGCCAAATCCCGAGACCGCTCCCCCACCAAGGAATCGAGAGACAAAGAAAACACGGAGCCGTCCCGCGCCGCATACGCGCCACCGCCCCCTTCCACTCCCATCTGGGCAGAGTTCAGCTCCCAGTCCGCCATGCCCACTACCGCCAATGCCCCTCCGGACAACCGCCCCCGCACCAGCATCGAGGGAGGAGGCCTTGGCCGATTCCCCCCAGCCGACTACTCGCCCACCAAGCAGCGCAGCTTCTTCGAGTACGGCCAGCCTGCAGTGCGACCCCCCGCTACCAAACAGCGGCCCAAGTCCATGTTTGCCGCCAGCTCGTCCACCACCTCTCTGCTCCTCGACACCTTTTCTCGTAAGAGGAGCAACGAGCGCATGCCCCTGTCCGATACACAGGGCAACGAAGGCCGCTTCAGAGACCCTTCTCCGAGCAAAAGCAAGTCCATAAGGCCAGCGCTTGGTAGAGCTAGTACCGACAGCGGTAGCAAGGACTTCAGTGTCAAGCCCATGGCACCGCCCCCGCCCCCAGCCTCGCCAAAGAAACCAAACAGAGTCATGGCGGCCGTCGCTGCCTTCAATGGCAAGGCTAAGCAGGCCGACGGTCCCCCAACCCCCACTGTCAAGCACGACCCCAAGGTTGTCGATGCCGAATTTGAAGAGGTTCTCGTAAGTCTTGTTGCTTCCTCGACCTACTCGTGTGCTTACCACCGCAGGAATCGCGAAACATCCCTACCCACCAACGTGCGCAGATGAGAACATTGAAACTCGAAGTCAAGGCCGACTTTGTGCGCATGCACAAGCTTGACACTCCTCAAACTTCGCGCAACTCGTCTGGCACCGTTTCCGCCGGCGAAACCGCCAAGTCGGCAGCACAAAAGACGTCCAAGTCGCGGCACGGATCTCCTGTGGATGACGTTGACCCCGACGCACAAGCAGACCCGTCTGGCTATTCGACCAAGCGCGAGCGTCCAAGGAGCAGGACATTTACCTTCAATAGAAATGATTCACCGACCAAGAAGCAGAAAGGCGACTTGGGCGAGCGCAAGACGTCTGCAAAGACTGCCACCATCCCCAAGTCTCCCTCTATGCGGTCCTTGAGGTCTAATCATTCAGAACGTTCCGTGTCCAACGGTGCAAAGTCAGTCAAAGCTGATGAGTTTATTGCTTACTTGAAAAAGACACCAAAGCCCCAAAACGTCGAGGTTGGCAAACTGCACAAACTTCGCCTGCTCATTCGCAACGAGACAGTTGACTGGGTTGACAACTTCATCCAGGATGGTGGTATGACTGAGCTGGTAGGCCTCCTCCATCGCATCATGGAGATTGAATGGCGCGAGGATCACGAAGACACCTTGCTCCACGAACTGCTTCGCTGCCTCAAAGGACTTTGCACTACTGCAACGGCCCTAAAGCAACTCAGAGAAATCTCATCCACACTCTACCCAGCTCTGCTGGCCATGCTTTTTGACGAGGAGCACAAAGGCCCGAGTGAGTTTACTACGCGTGAGCTCATCATCGAGATCATATTTGCACACCTCTCCATGGCTCCAGAGGCCGAACTGGGAACTCGTGCTGCCGAATTGATGAAGTATCTCAAGGATCCCGTGAAGGAGAAGGAGACATCGACAGTCCCCTTCATTCTTCAAATGCATCAGCCGCGTCCATACCAAGTTTGGTGCAAAGAGCTGTCCAATGTTACCAAAGAAGTCTTCTGGATCTTCATTCACCATTTGAACGTAGTTCCGGTCCCACCAAGACCAACAGAGGGCAGGTCTTATGCCAAGACTCACTTCCCAGGCCAGCGGGCTATTGTCCCAGCAGCGCCATATGTCGGTGGTGTAGAATGGGACGCTACCAACTATCTCGCGACTCACATTGATCTCCTTAACGGAATCATTGCCTCCCTACCCACCCGCTCTGCTCGCAACCAATTCCGACAGGAGCTCAAGGTTTCTGGCTTCGAAAAGGTCATGGGGCACCTCCGTGCTTGCAACCCCAAGTACTATGGCGCAGTTCACGACAGCGTCAAAGTATGGATCGGGGCTGCCCTTGAGGATGACTGGGATGTCAAGACTGTGCGCATGGGTGCCGGAGAAAGCAAGACCAGTGTCAGCCCTCTCAAACAAAGCCCCAAGAAGAAGGTTGAGGCCCCACCTCAACTTCAAGCACCCCCCAAAATGGACATTGGCCTTGGTCTCGGACTGGGTTTTGATAGGGAAATTTCCATTGGTCACTCGAAGAAGGTCGTTGACGACGACTGGATCTGATGTGTTTGATCAGTGCTTGACGTTGAAAAACGTTTGCATTCGATTGTGCTGAGATTGTGCAATCACTTCCTGGCCATGTCCGGTCTTGGATAAAACGATCGGCATATCTTGTTCAAGTTGGTGGTACAGGGATAGTTACGACACCCCTGAGCCCACTCACGTCAGAACCTCGGCCAGCCAAGGCATTACAAAACATTATGGGCGCACATTTATTACGGAGTCTTTGTTGGTTTCTCTTTTCCCACGGACTTTTTACATCGGCGCCATGGAGCTTTCTACTCACTCGCCTCATCTCAACATCTGCATTCCTTCTCAAGGCGTTGTTCCCTCGTTCTCCCCGGCCCCGCTTGCTTCCTTTGGACCTGGAGCAACAAACGTCTCCATTTACGACTTCTCTCTCTCCCTCTCTGTGTACCTCTTCATCTCAATGTCTCTCTCTCTATCACCTGTTAGCAATGAAAAACACGACCTTGACGACCCGAGACGGCTGGTGTTTTTTATTTATTTACCCTTTCTCCCAGACTTTTGTTTATTTTTTATTCTCTCAATGTACCTTTTTGTGTCTTGTTTTCATTCGTAATAGGATGAGCAAAGGGGTTAGGGTAAATAAATTCTGCACTACACGAGATGAATTTGAAAGCAATCGAAATACTATACTAGAGTGCCATGGCATGCTTACTTATCCTTGGGTTTTCGACGAGCCCAATGCCCTTTGGACGCCGAGACTGATGATTGTCAAATTGGACATGTGTCGAATATATCATCAGTACAGTACTAATGAAACGAGCCAACTAACAGACAATGTAAGATGTCACAGACAACCCAATGGGAGGCGTAAAAGTAAGCATGAAGAGATAATCTAAGCAGCATAATATCATGTAGGGTATCTATTTAACCGCAGTCATTTACGCCTATACCTTGTTGTTTCAAACCCCGACACCCCCCCCCCCCCCCATTTACTTTACATTTGAAAGAGAAAAAAAAAACAGAGAAGGAACCCAGAGGCCTCATCTAGTAATAAAAAAAAAAGCCCTACCCTGCATTACCCATGCCGCTAAAAGATTGGGACGGTGACAACGAAGAAGAAGGGAAAGATCGGTAAGCGACCAAAAAGGAAAAACAAAAAAAAAACTATCACGCCTTTTTCTTGCCTTTCCTCCTCGCCTTGTTCTTGCCACCAGACTCGCCAACCTCAACACTGGCAGCCTCGACCTCGCCCTCTTCCAACCCCAGCACCGCGTTTCCCTCCATTTCCCTCAGCTTCTCCTGGCCACTAATGAAAAAGCTCAAGTCGCGATTCTGCTCCTCGAGATCGGCCTTTGCCGCTTCGAGTTCGGCGACGCGCTGCTCGGCCTCTTGCGCCTTGAGCTCGAGATGCTTGATGCGCTGCATGAGCGACTCGTTGACAATCTGCTCTTCCTTGTACTGCTTGGTTAGTTTTCGAGCGAGCTCGGATGCCTGTGCTGCTTTTTGGGCGTTGCGGGAGGACTCCTTGGTCAGCGAGGCAATCGTGGCGGTTGCTTCTTGGTGCTCGGTCGAGAGCTGGTCGAGCTTTTGGGATAGAGCGGCTACGCTGCGAGTTGCTTCGTCGGCCGAAGTGGCGGCTTTGGCGGCCTTGTCTACAGCACGCTCTAGTTGTTCTTCAAAGTATGCGCGTTGCGATTCGAGCTGCGAGGTGAGGAGATAGGCGTACTCCATGCCCATGTTATCCAGCTTCTCGCGCGGGACTGTGTCATTGGCGTAGCCCGTCATACCGGGTGCACTGAACGACTGGTTTGAAGCTGGCATATCCACGAGTTTGCCATCGGCTTTGTTTTGTATGAGACGATGAACATATCCGTCACCTGCATAGTCCCAGACATGCTGTGTCACTACGTCCATGGCATATGTATGGCTTGTAGCCTCGTAATGTGCGAATGCATGCGCCGAATCATAGCGACCACATCCTATGTTGCCGCAGATGAGACAGATCCAGAGGTTCTGCGTAGATCCGCAAACACTGCATTCGTTGTCTGGGCTGTCGCCATCAGCACTGTGGTGTGAGGTAAAGGCGTCGTTTTGTGTATATCGACAGACTGGACAGCCTGAGCCTCGCCATTTCTCAAGACACGCACAATGAAAGACGTGCTGACAGAGTATCGTGAGCAGGCCCGTCGTTTCGTCCATCCTCTCCAAACAGACAGGACATGTCGGTAGCTCTACTAGAGCCGGTGTAGGCGGAGCGTGTGGCTTTGCAGTGAGTGATGATGCTATTGACGGGCCATCGACTGGTGAGGAGACAGTAGTCGCTGGCGGAAGAGGGGCTGTGGGCTGCTTTGTTGCAGCGGGCGCGAAGGGATCGTTTGTCAGGTCCGGGTACGAAGTTGGGTCACGATTTGAGTCGCCATTTTGGAAATTGATTGACTTGACAAAGACGACATGACAGTATTCCGGCTGGGTCTGGTTAGTAACTACGTTGATATTGATTCGCCCGGTTATTGTCATGATCTCTCACCTCCATGCTGTTGAAGGGCTTACCATCCCACTCTTTCCTCCACTCGCGCGCCCTCTTAGCCTCGCGAAATTTCATGAGCACCATGTACTTGTTGGCTCTGCTTGTCCTAATGAGCCTGAAATGTGAGACATACTCCCTCGTCTGCTCACCCATGAAGCCCAAAAAGTCGGACGGTGTCATATATGAAGGGACCGCCAGTATGCACAGCGTTGTGCAGTCTTCCTCATTGAAGGCCTTGTCCCCCCGGTCTACTTCATCGTACAAGCCCGGTGTCTCTTGCCCATCCCGATACAGATGCACGACCCCCCAGCCGACCTCTGTATCCTTCAGGTCAGAGGGTATGAATTTACCCTTTGTCGCTAAACCTCCAGTATTGGGCGCATGCGAAGGGTGCTTAAGCGACTTTGCGCGAGACGGGGCGAGCTCAGTGTCATCGGCCTGGTTCATATCGATGCTAAGAATGGAGATGGTATCGAAGCGCCAGTCCCTGTGTGCAAAGCTCTGCGTCCGTCGGTGCGCAGGCCTCGTTGGGGGTTTGATGACGGGAACAGGGCTATCGTGGTGATCTGAGAAAGATGGCCGGGTGCGCTGGCTGAGTCGGCGAGAAGTAGCCCGTTGCTCACGAGAGGTGGAGGGTCCGCTGTGTGTGCGCGACGAAGGCGATGATGGCAAAGGAAAAGAACCCCAGGAAGCCCTTTGGTGCACCGGGAGCTCCGAATGGAAGATGTCAGTCTGCGGTGGTGGGGTAAACGTCTTGTCCGGCGATGAGCGCGAGGGGTAAAGCTCGAAGGTAAGGTGAAAGAAATAGGTCGGCATCACAGTTTTTTGACTGAAGTCTGCATTTCGGACGAGCTGTCACGGCGAATAGTTGGCGCAATTTTGCAGCGGCTTGACACGCGGTCGGATCGTTTGCGAGTTGAGCTACATGGATGAAAATGTGAATGTTCAGATGCATGTATATATAAAATGGCTGCAGTTGCGGCGGCAGTGGGCTGGTAGTAGCGCGTCATCCCGCTTGGACTAAAAGTAGCGTGCAGACCATCAGCATTAACTACTACCCCACGCCCTCTGTTCCTTTGGGGTAGACGAATACCTCACAAGCAGTCCAAGGCACAGGGAATTGATAATTAAACTGATGTATTTGACATGGTTCTGGACCTGTACAAGCCGCAGGCCCCGTCATGATCCTCATGTCAATGGTAAACCCCAAGTCTCCGCCAAATGCAGACTGTAACTAGCAATGTCGAAAACGCCCTAGCTATGCATATGTAACAAACAAAACGCCCATACTCCTGCATGTGTGCATGTGCAAGCATCCTTCCTCACACCTTGCTGTGCGCCAAAAGAAGCGGCCAAGGCTGTGCCTACACTAGTCCATGCCACATTACCAACTGAAATAATAAAACTCGGATGCCGTGTCATCAATTCGTTCGCCAAAGTGCGGTTTTGGGTATCGCTTTTGTACAAGTGGAAACATTCGCGCCAGCCCCAAATGATATGCTGTTTGTGTCTGTGTTTCGTGTCTGAGCCTAGGCCTGCTCTGCATCCATAGGCTCGGCATCAGTGACATCTTCAATCTCATGGCCCTTGGAATTAACAACAATGCGCCGTCCTCGCTGTTCAGCGGGAACACCGTCGCGTGAAGCGCCGAAATCAAGAACCTGTTGCAACGTTAGCCGGAAAAGAAGAAAACAGCCCCTTTGTCTGCTTACCTCGATATACGTCATGCTGTTGCGCTGAACAGCAGCGACACAGCGCCGCTCGTTGAACTTGACCTGCCACACGCCGCTCAGGTCAGTCAACAAATCCTTCACAAACTCGCCCGTCTTGACATTCCACATCTTCAGAGTACGGTCAGAGCCAGATATGACCTTTTGCCCGTCGTGTTGGAAACAGGTAATGGCACCGGTATGGGCACAAAGTCGGCTCTTGCACTGCCCGTTTTCCGGATCCCAAATGCGAAGAGTGGAGTCAGCAGCCGCAGATACTAGGCGTCCATGGCTCAGGTCAAGGAGACCAACCAGAGACGTATGTCCCTCAAGCGTGAATATACAAGCACCTGTCTCCAGAGACCAGACCTTCACCATGTTATCCATGGATCCACTGATGCAGCGATTCCGAGCATGATCAAGGACAACACTGTAGACCTTTTGTGAATGGCCCTGAAGACGCTGGAGAACTTCTCCGGTCGAGATTTTCCACACTCGAACCGTACAATCGTAGCTACCGCTCACCAGAGTGTCCCCGTGAGCAGCGATAGCGCGCACTGAATGATGGTGCCCAGTCAAAGCGCGTATGAAGTAAGGGTTATCATGGTCGTTTGCAGATGCTCCGGTTTGAATAACGCTCCGATCACCTGGCTTAGGAAGCTTCCATACACGAAGCGTTGAATCACGTGAACCAGTGATGATGAGCTCCTCCTTTGGCATCATGATGGGTTGACCATCGATGGTCTCGCCAATATGCGTTGGCTTGAGGATCACCAAGCATCGGACGGTCGATGTGTGACCCTGGAACACGTGTGTGCACTCTCCCTTGTCGATGTCCCATACGCGCACGGAGCGGTCGGTAGAGCCTGACACCAGTGTGTTGCCTTCGTACTGAAGGGCCCATACGCCACCTTCATGCCCCTCGAGACGATTACGCAGTGCTCCTGTCTTGGTGTCGTAAACGTTGATATTTGTGTCGTCACTGCCAGTGAGTATTTTGTCCGTATCAAACTGTAAGCAGGTCACCACGTGGCGTTGATGTGCACGGAACGCAATATGTTTTGGCTTAGTTTCCTCAGCCATCCAGCTCTTGCGTATGAGATGATGCCTTTGGTACAAGGATTTGAAGAGATGCATAGCGCGTAGACTAGGTAAGCCCACGTTGGGATCCGAGATGGCAGCTTCTGCACGCTTGGCGAAAGCGTGCGGTCCTTCATGAAGATCGGCGGGACGCAAATACAGCGCGGCCTGTGTTTTAGTCGAGGCTCGATTCTTGCGTTGCTTCTTGCCGCTGCCACTGCCGTGTTTGCTGGTAGCTTTCCTCTTTTGACGCGTTGATGAGGATCGGGTCACTGCACCTTCTTGGTCTTGCAGACCGCCAGGCAAACTCGAGCTCGGAAAGCCTGAAAAGCCTTCGTTGTCGGACCGGGAAGTTATTGACTGGGCCCTCAAGTCACGCTCATAACTGTCAGCCGAGTGAGGATATTGCCATCCCCAGCCTTCCTGTACAGCTCGTTCCAGCTCACCGTGTGGCAACCTGTAACCGTCCCTGTCAAGCAGATCCTTCCAGGCAGACTCATGAGTGTCGATTAGCTTTCGCCAATACTTTGATACCCGTGCAGCGCTGCACATGCTCTTGACGTCCAGATAACCGATGATCTCTAAGCTCAGCTCAGTAGGAAGTGAGGCGATAAAGTCACGTTTGAGAGCGGGGTTCACTACATCTGCAACAAAGTGCAAAGTCGGTTTTTTGCATCGTCGGAGCATTTGATAAAGAACATACGACTTCATCTGTTCTGGCAGAGCATCAAAAGAGTTGAGCATGTTTGGTATATCCATGATGGAAGGGGTCGGTAGTTGGGTATTGGAGTCATCCATGCGTTCGCCATGGGGGAAAAGAGGAAAGTCGCCTGGGCGCGAATTGCTCGACTCGCCCTGGGAGAGGTCGAGTCCGGAAAGTTCGCTCGCATCGTAGTCCATGTCCATGGCCGAAAATAAAGTCCCATTGCTGTTTTGCTGGGCAAGGTTTGCGGCGGCAGTGATGGGCGATAAACTAGGGCTCGGCAAGCTAGCATCCTGTACAGAATTCGTATCGAGAGGGGCAAGTCGTGAGGTAGAGAAGGAACCATGTTCAATAAAAGGTCCGACCGGTTCCAGGTCCGACTCGGCTATTGGGGGAGTAGCAGCAACGCCAGGACCGTCAACCACTCCTGTAGGGAATGAATGCTCTGGAGAGTGTTCGCGCTGGTTGGAATGACTACCTTCGGGCTGCGCAGATGCAGTAGAAGCCTCTCGAAGATGCCACCTGGATGGCGTTCTGCCCAGTCCGAGTTGCTGCGATGTCGCTCGTGCGCTAGGCTTGGGGAACGGGCTAGGTCGGGTTTTTAGCAGACGAGATGCGCCCATCTCCCCTTTGTTTGTTTCAGGTGTAGCTGGACACGAACCCTCGGTATCTTCTGGTGCGCTGTTGTGGGCCATTTGTGTAGGGTCAGTAGCCTTGTCACGCTCTAACCTGGGTTTTTTGCTTTGGCGATGCATACCCACCAACTCGACAGCCTTGGTAATTGATGGAGGCGGGGGTGATTCGTCTGCATTGTCTCGTTTTCGGCGAGCAGACACGGAGCGTAGTCCTTGATGTGCTCGATACTTGGGACGCGTCGTGCGGTTGGGTGTGGCGAAGACTGGGGATCCATTAAAAGATTCGACTTTCTGAACTTTTCCCTTTGATCGGAGGGCTTCCTGGAGTGATCTCTGCTGTAAGTAGAGCGTCAGTTACGAACACGGTGACTGAGGAAAGGGTGACGTGCGCAGCTGTAACGCGAAAGGCGTCGGCTGCATGCATGTCCCTGGAATTGTCGAAGGCGTACCTCTCGCACCCGCTCCGATGCAGTGTCTGCTTCCTCAAAGCATGCCAGTTCGCCTCCAGATTCAAAATAGAACTTCCGTATCGACTCCGGTGCTTGGACGTGGGCCAGCGGGTAATCTTTGGGGTCTCGTTCAGCCAGGCTTCCGGGGGCATTTACACAGAGGGGCGGGAAAGTGGTGGTTGTGGTATACGTGGTTGTGACTACTGTAGTCTTTGTGGCTGGGGCCAGCGAGAACTGTGCCATGGTGGTGTAGGGGTCTGGGGCTTCGTGGAGCACCGTCTTGGACACGCCATCAGCACTGGGGCCGGAGTCATTCGAGGCAGAGGCCATGTTGCAAGACGGCGACAGGCTTTAGCGATGGAGCTGCTGCGCGTCGTCGTCGCTCTGCGTGAGGGGGATCCGCAGTGGGGGAGGGGCAGGTTGTGGGCGGCTGATGGGCAGCCTTGGTAGCGGTGGTGGAGAAGGAGGAAGTGGTGGTGGTGGTGATGGTGATAGACGTGCGGGAATCAAAGCACGCGATGGATCGAGGACGAGCAGCAAGACGCGGGAGAGAAACAGTGGGGTTAGTAATCGTGCATATCGCCAACCGTGACCGGGACGCGGGCTGGGTCGGGGCGGTGGTGTGTGGTGGTTTGTGGCCGGTGTTGGCAGGCGTGTTGCCGCTGGCCGAGACGAGATGGGATGGCCGGCAAAGTCGAGGCGTGCGGCGGGAGCTTGAGAGCGGAAACAGGCCACGTAGCAGCGAGAGGGGAACAGCGAGAGGAGAGTCTGGTCTGGCTCAGAGGAGGGGATTGGGTGTTGTGGGCTGGCACGGTGGTGGGGTTTATGGAGAGTAGACGAGCGAGCAAAGGCATGAGCACTTGCAGGGCGGGCTGGTCTAGCTCGGCCTAATCCTAATCTTGACTTCCCGCCATGTCAATTTGGTGCCGCATCACCTCACGGTAAGTAGATGCATATGTAGTATTGGCTCCATGCACCAGGCCAGCACCACCGCGCCTTTGATTGCACTGCTTGTCCAGCCTGCACATGGCTCCCTGCACCAGCCAGCCCCAGCTGTCCTCTTGTCCGCAGCGCGTGCACTCGTGTTTGGCCTCTTGCGGAGCCATGGGCTCCGAGGTGCACACCTCTTCGGCCTCGTGTGCACCCTGGCGCCATCTGGCCAACTGCGCTGCCGTGGCAAGAGAGATGGAGGGAAAAAATTCTCCACCAGGCGCCGGTCTCGATGTGCTGTTCGAATAGGACACGCGTGAAGCAAGCACGGCCACAAGAGGCCGCCACGCCGCACGTGGAGTGTCACGGGAGGAGTCGAGCAACGGCAACGAGTCGCGAATAGCAGGCAACCCCAAGACAATCATGCCCGGATCCATCTGCCCACCCGAGCCTTTGCTTCGAGACGCTGCCTGTCCAGCGCTGGACGCTGGATGCTGTTTCATGGCTTGCGTGCAATCCGCCATTGGTCATCATTATCATCATCATTGCCATTATCACTAACTATCATTGTCGGCTGCGTGAAGATGGCACAGCTGATGTCTGGGGCCGTCTTCGCATTCCTGCCGGGGAAGCTATGCCGGGAACAAGACGTCATGCTCTACTTCCGTAGGTAGCATCTACGTAGTATGTATGTACGTACATCGATACACTGGCCTTATCTCACCGTCTTCTGCGTCCAACTAAGTACTTGCTGCATGTACCCGGTCAGCCCTACCCTTTGGCCACCTTTGATTACCGATGCCCGGTCCCTCTGCGCTGCTCACATGGATATGTAACTATGTACCAAGTAAGTACAGGACAGCAACACCACCCTCTCGGGCTTTCTTGTTCCGTCTCTGCCAGCGCCCAACAGGGCCCGGCTTCACACTGCATCTGTAGGCTGCACCGCCTGTTTGAACTGGTTGACAAAGACCAGTCAGGCGGCCCACGGATGCCGGTACTGCCGCTGTGATTAACAGCGGAGAAGCGAAAAAAAAAACACTCCGACAGCGCCCAGGCGCCAGGAAACCCAGCTAGGAGAGATGCGACACTGGGAAACGGCGTTGATTGCGTGTGACTGTCTGTGTTTGACGCTTGCCGAGTACACATGTATACCTATCCGTTTGTAATCGCATGCAGCCAAAGACCTTCAGTCTCCATCACGTGCACAGGTGAAGGAAGTATATACGTGTGTAGTAAGTACGCAGCTGTGTAAGTGTCGTGGAGACAGCTAGTGTGCGCACGTATACATGCTACACATGGAATTCTGGACACACACACACACACACACACACACATACATGTATACATACATGGATGCGTGAGGCTCAAGTCGACGGGGGCACCTGCGAAGCACGTAATGGCCTAAGTACTTACTGTGGGCCGCCCGGCGACGTGCCCACAGCGGAACCAAGCCCATCCCCTCTCCCCGTCCCCCTCGACCCAAAATTTCAATGGAGCTGTGACTGCCCGCTGACACACGGTCCGGCACAACCAGGGCAACTCAGGCTCCTCGAGGGAACGAGCTTCATCAGATCTAAAGCCATTGCGCATCCCGGACAGCCGAGCCCTTGATCAAGGACAAAGACGTTCATGATCATCGTGAAAGAGCCCACAGGATCACCACCAGGTCCAAAGACGAGCGCTGATCGGATAGTGCATGCTACACGCCCCCTGAGCATCTCCCGCGGGCCCCAGTCGCTCAACACTCGTTACTCGGCATGGTAGTGCCAACATTCCAAATCTGCAAAGCTGCTCATCAGCCACGCGGCTTCGCGCACCATAACTATCTGGCCATGTATGTGTGTACGAGAGTATACATGGACACCCGCCACTGTTCCGACCCGGTCGGGCTCTTTTTTTTCAATTAGGGGTATGGAGCCAAACTCTGTGGGGAAAAGAAGCAAGTGCGGCGCAATTCAGGTATGACGGGCGTGGAGATTGGCAAGGAATGTATTTATACATCATGCCATCCACGATAGAGGCAGGCGTCAAGGCGCTCAACAGCCTCAATTTGCCCTGGCCCATGCCTCTCAGGGCTGGGATTAGCGCAGCGCCAGAAACGCACGGGAGCCTCGTACTTGGTGACGGCGCAAATGCAAAGGTTCGGTACGCTGTGCTCTGGCCCAGCCTCAACTACCTGGCCTGCCCCGGCCTGTCCTGTCCTGTCCTGTCCTGGCACCCTCAGCTCCAATCCAAGTGCAGGTGCAGATGCAAATGCCCAGCAGCAAACATGACGCCCGTCGCCGTCGACGCTGGCCCGCTCGCGACACAGCCTACGGCGCACCTACGCGCACCTACAGCGCAACCCAAAAGGCTAAATATCGTGTATACAATTGGAGTGTGCATGTCTGTGATGAAGCAGTGGCTTCTGCCAGACCCGTGCAGCCTGGCCTGGCCTGGCAAGCTTGTGCAGGGGGTGATCCGCAGCTCTGCCGGCTGACACCCCTGACGCCCACTACCCACGCGGATCTGACTATCAGAGCCACGGCCATATCGCAACCCGCAGCATCCAAGTCACAAAGCCCTCGACGTTAATCTTCACGCTCTATACCTGCCCGTTCGCAATTCCTTTTGTCTGTAAAGCCGCGCCCTTCCCCGCCCTCTTTCGCAATCCCACACCCATTCTCCTTTCCTCCTGCACCCGCCCGGGCCCCCTGCTTCTTCATGGAACCGTACTACGGCCGTTCCTGCAGATAGCATTCCACCCTACGCCGGCTTAGCGTCTGGCATACGAAGGGCCCGCTGCTGAACCCTTGGCTTCCTCGGTCGGCCTGGTTGTACAAGTTCATTAATCCACCACATACCGCATCCTCGCCTCTCCCCCAAAAAGCAAAACACCACCTACCCGCATGTGCTGCCGGCCCCGGTCCGCGATAGCAACAAACATGGTTTCGGCCTAAACCTGCGCCTATTCGTGATTTGGCATGACGCCGTCCGCGCGTGCCGCGATTCAGTTCTTTTCACTCTGCCTCTCACTTTACTGAGTCGCGCCTACACTAGGACTGCAGCCACCAACTTTCCTTTCCGCACTCCGGCTTGCTCACCCATCATGTCTCGCAACGACCGCGGACAGAAGAAGTTCTCCTTCCCATTGCCTCGCCGCCCGCGAAGCAAACCACAAAAGCCTCACGCCGCCGCCGCCGCCGCCGCCGCCGCCGTCGACAACTACGACGACTACGACGACAGCACTCGCTCCACACCACCCTCTATCCCCAGCTCCAGGCGGCTGTCCCGTCACGACGAGACAATCAGCAAAGCGCACCAGATACTGGGCACTTCTAATCCGCTACAGCATTCAACCTCAGGCCAATCGCTACCCACACCAAACCCTGGATACATGTCACTTGTCATATCAGAGACAAGTGGAGGCTCACACCTGGACGATTGGAATGCAGTACCAAGAGCAGAGAGTGCAAAACGGCCTGCCATGTCAAAACAACCATCATCAAATGTTCTGGGGCGGATATACTCCGGGGAAAGAAAGTGGGGCTCTGACCACAGCTCAACTGGCTATCGATTGCATCCTCAGGCATCCAACTCGACCATTCGGTCGCATTACGATGCGAAAAACTCACCGCTGTCCATTTCGCAGCAAACATCTGACTCGGCTATCCGAGATCGCGCGTTGAGAAGAGGCCGCACCCCGGTATTGACAGATAAGGGCTATGACGGCTATGTGGCGAGTGCAGCGTCGCCCGTCATCCTGGACCAAGCAAGGAAAAACAAAGAACACCGAAAAAGCAAACCTGCTCGACTTGATTTGTCGAGACTGTTCCCCAAGCCAAAGGACAGTGGCAACCAACGCCACGGCAACGCAATGCTTTCACCGACCAAGATGGTCAACTCGCCTGCTGCCATGTCAATGAATTCGGAATATTTCCATCACTCTCCATCAAGAGATCGAACTCCACAGAAAGCGTCAAAAACATTACAAAAGAATACCACCAGCCATTACAATCTTTCAGGACGTCGTGGAACAAGTCCGGTCCGCAAAATCGAGCGGGATGAGTATGATAATGCAAAAGTGCACGTGCGCCGACCTCCAAAGGGTGTTCAGCATTGGTTCGATGCGCTCGAGGACGATAGTGAAGAAAGCGCAGAGGAAATGCAAAAAGCCCCTGCTTCGCGGGCTGCCCACTCACATGGTGAAGCCAACCGTAAGGCCTCTGTTGCTCAGACCTCCCAGCCAACAGGAAATTCAGTGTTCGGCCCCCGATTGCAAAATTCGACAAATGCCTACAAGAGGGATAGTTTTGCGCTCGAAGACATTGTCGATATCCGCCATCTAACTTCACCCAGCCAGTATTCGGTCAACACATATCACTCGCAAACCTCATCGAGGACCAAGGAGTCGGCACTTTCAAAGAAAAATCTTCAAGACTCCAGCGTCTTATCGTTTTCTTCTTCAGAAGATGAGGGTGACACTAATCCAACACAGTCTAGACACACGTTCAACCGTCAGAGCGTGGATAGTGCCGACTATAGTGGGGATATCATGATTGGACGCGCCCAAGCGTACGATGTGCACTCTTCACACCATCGCCAGCATTCCGCCGGGAAAATGAGTACCCATTCGACATCCACAAACGCTGCGACAATTGACATCATATATACGCCTGAACCGCCCTTGCCCGCCTACCGCTATTCACGAAATCGCACCTACAGCGCTAGTAAACGATCCAGTCATGTGAGGCAGCCTTCTGTGATTCATGAAGATGAGGATTCCCGCCCGAGGACCGCATTCAATGAGCCCTTGTCGCCATCGAGACGGAGTGTGGCGAGTTCCCGTACATCGGCTAGCGCACCCCAACCTCATTCCGATTCATCGCGCAAATTCATGCAGGTCACCCCTGAGGAGGAGGCTTTGCTCGAACTGATGAGAAAGAAGCGTGCTTCCATGCACAAACATTGTGGATCGCAGTCACAGTCCCGGGAACCCTCTGAATCAGGTTCTGTATGCGCAGTGGATACCAGGGCTAGAGAGCGTACATCGTCGAACGCGTCTGTGCCGCATCAGTCATCTGCACGTGGCAGAGCAGCAAGGGTCGACGGTACTATAGGCACAAGCCAGCTACGTGACGGCTCTGTCAGCGATGCTTGGTCAGACCGTCACCACTCTCCGGCTAGCCGAGGAAGATCGCCTCGATGTCTTGTTGCATCTTCAGAAACCTCATGCCGTCATCGTTCCCCGCCGCGTTCGCTTACGCCTGCTGAAAGCGGAACGTCACTTACGACCACTGACCACCCGTCGCCTTTACCATCCCCTATGACCCCTGGTCGTTATATCGATGATATGGGCGTCAATGTCAAGGTAGCGAATAGTGATACTAGTAATGAGCTGGATGACATGTCGGCCTTGAACCAAGGTGTTGTTAGCGCCTCGTTGGAGAACAGCAAATCGGATTCATCTCGCGAAATGAGCGCGCATCGACGCCGTCGCACAGCATCCAGTGATGCGGACATGACATTCCCTGTCCCGCCCACTCACGGTATACGGGACCTGACCCCAGTATCGGAAGCCTCGTCCCGCCCACCCAGCATTGTTGAGCCACCAGCCCCGAAACCCCAAAAGAGAGCCACGAGGCACATTAGTGAACTGGCCCTTGGAACCATAGAAACACGACAGCGACAAAGCAGTGCTCACTCAACCGTAACACGTACATCATCGCAAGGCTCGACATATGTCAACAGTGTAGGCAAGACAAGATCGCGCCATCTAAGTCCTGACTGTATTAGAACCAACTCTCGAACCTCTATCGACAGTAGGGATAGCGTCAGTGATGATGTCTTAGCCGCCTGGAACAGCTTGGGCGGAACATACTAGTTTTGGCTCACTTGTTGTAATCTTTTTTTCCAGGGCATCCTGTACATGATATTTTCACACTTATTTCTCCTGTCCATTAAATTTCCTTTTGTTGTTGCATGAAACCCCTTTTCCTACTTGTAAGGATTCATTATAGCCTTTTCCTCATTTGTCTTTCTACTATGTCTATGGTTTTTTTCTCTCTCTGTTACGCATTACCGAGCCCTATATACCTATGACCAATCCCTGTTATTCAAATCTAGTTATAAAGCTTTGAGGTTCTACGATGACGTAATACCTGTTGCATTATCTTTTGCTATCTAGAGTCCATGTATATGTATATGTAGTATATAGTACATAGAAAATCAAACTTACTGTGAGACGATAACTCAGCTCCATTACGCTATGCAGCCTTAAAAAATGGTATAGTATATTATGTACGGATATCCGAAAGCTGCATAGCTGATATACGTGTGACACTTACTTTATTAAGTACGTACTGATTCTACGTGTAGAGATATTCTTTTGCACTACGACATGTATACAGATTTCAAGAGATCAAAAGAGAATTTTCAAGAAGATATCATGATTCATGAGTTACAATTATCCATTATCACTACAATTATAATCTTGGCGAGGTTCAAAGCATAGTATATATAAAAGCCAATCCACGGGCCTCTCTATTCCTTCTTGTAACCCGTGTATGTATCGTAGCCGCCGGCCGGAGGCGGATACGTGCCGTACGACGCGTACGCAGCAGGTGGATTCGGGGTCTCAACCGGAGGCGCATTCTCATATGTTCCTTTGATAACAACTGTTAGTTCAAGACACACACACACACACACACACACACACACACACACACACACACACACACACACACACACACACACACATACACAATGAGTGAGTGAGAGATAGAGGGAGAGAGAACATCTCTACCAGGAAAAAAATCCCTCTTTCAAGTTCCGACATGCACACAAAGAGGAAAGGTGGGGAATTCACGTACCGTAGGATGCAACAACGGGTACCTTGACTCCACTATAGTCTCCTTGGATTTATCTGTTAGTCAAAGAGAAAAAGAGATATCTACACAAGGCAAACTCCAAGTTCCACGCCGTTGACATCGGGGTTCCTTCTTACCATAACCATCATATGAACCCTGGGCGATTGGTGCGGTGAGAGCACATGAGGCAAAGGCGAGGATAGCGACGAAAGACTTCATGATTTTTTTTTCTGCTTGGCAGAGCTATACGTCGAAAACGTCGATGGAAGTTTATTCTTGTGAAAAAAGAGATGGAAAGTTTGTGTTTTGATACAGTTTTGATGATTTGTTTAAAAAAAAAAGACAAGAGGAAGTGGTGTCTTTGTACATTCAACTGGAATCTATCATATCTACATACTACAAGATCTCGCCGACGAGCGCAAAAAAAAAAGTGTATGAGCTTAAGTTTGCTTTGCTGGCTTTCAGTAAGCCCCCCCCCCTAGAGCTGAGGGCCCCCTTACAGGAACTAACTAGTCTGTAGATAGACAAAAAAAAGCCACTGCTGATCTCATAAACCATACTCTCTCTGGTAGGGTTTGTCGTGGTGGGTCGAGATTGCTGTGAGCTGGACATGCCAAGGACCCTCGTTTGCCAGCGCCACTTCGCTTCTCTGAGGGCCCTATCATGAGGTTACGAAATGTCAATAGTTCAAGGACCTGATGAATCTGGATCTACTCCTCCCGAATGCGAGCTGCAAGGTTTGCGGCATATGGTCGATTTTCTTTCTATCCGATTGGTACGGTATTCGGGGGGGGGGGGGCTTTGATAGTGTGTATTGGCATTTTGTATTTGACTACACTGCTGTGAGCCAGGCTGGCATGCTGAGTGTTGACAAAGTGGCGGTATACGATTCGTTTGTTGAGCTTTTAGACAAACGTGCATGTACTTAACGTAACCGCATAATATCCTGTGTCTCAGCGTCTTGTTTGTTCACAAGCTGTGGCTTTGTGCTTCTACTTGATATGTGCTCTTGTAGTGTTGCGTCTATGTTATCGAGTTTGGCCCAAACTTGACTCTACGTGACCCCCCCCCCCCCTTCATCACCGAATATACAATTTGGCATGTACTAAGAGGTAGTATCTGAAATGCCAAACGAGGCAATACAGAAGCCCCAATAAGGCTAATTCAGCCCTATGCGCCACTAGTGACGGTGACTGGACAATGCCTACTGAGTCGTATTCAGCTGCTGCGGGGTATTCCTGGAGAAGCTGAAATACCATTTTCTGGGCAAAGATAACGCTGTACAGATACAAACCTTGCGAGCTTGACGGTGAGGCAAATTAGTCGTAGTATTATGTGCTACTGAATGATTCCCCCCCCATGTTCTGTTGACTGACTGCCTCGATCATCTCCTTCACCCTTCGCCATCTCTGCGACCATGATTTTCAATATGCCCAACTTCGGTCTAGGAAAATGCTCTGGTACAGAGAAAACTATACAATCAGAAGACTGCGAGAAACTTCTTGCAGAGAGCGCTCGATCGTCACTCGAATCATGGCCCCCGCAACCAGCACCACAGGGATTGTCCTGGAAGATGGCAACCTGTATGATCTGCTTCACAGCAGTCTTTTCTGCTGCATTTGGAGGGTTGATAGTCAAGCTGCAACAACCAGATGCTGACGCTTTCTGCGCAAGGCTTACTTCAATGTACTGTATGTCTGGAAGAGCTACTTGTGGGAAGATACTCCACTAAATTCCACCAGCACCTATAGTGCACGACGTCGGTATTACCTACCAGCAGTTACAGTTCAACAGCTCACTTTTGGCGTCTAATCCATATCGGTTAGACGCAGGTCCTGAAGTCGATGCAGCGTGGAAGTCCTTGGGTGTAGACTGTAAGTGAGCCAAGTCATGAAGGCATCACTCGCTGAACATTAGTACAGACCACGCGGTGAGAGTACCGACAAATGAGGCACAGCAATCTGGCCTTGCACTCGATCAAGTCCAGATCAAGGAAGAGTATGGCGGTGGATACCCCGCGCACGTAGAAGGGCTGCACCATCTACATTGCTTGGTATGTCCTATCAATCATGCTTTAGCAGCCAACACTCATTCGGGCTTAGAACTTGTTGCGCAAATCTCTAGCCTGGAACATCGATTACTATCACAAGCAAGGCCTTGGGCCTTTCTCCAACGACGCGAGTATCCTAAAACATCACACCAGTGAGTACCCAAATTCTTCTATGTACAACAAACCATACATAGCTCACGCCTTCCTCAGCACATTGCCTCGATATCCTGCGACAGCAACTCATGTGTGTCACGGATGTCGGAGTTCTTGGCCAGGTGTGGTACCAGCCGCCTGGGAAACCGTTACAAGCATTTGTCGATTTCAACACCGTCCACACATGCCGTAACTTCGATGCAATTCGAGACTGGGCGGAGAAGCATCAGTTGCCAGATGTGGAAAAGACCCCGGCCAATTTTCTCGCTTTACCCAAGGAGGGCGATCGGATTTACCACGAAGTCCCTTAGAGTAAATACATGGTTCGATAGTGATGTGTACAGCAACACATGTATTACCAAAAGGGCTCGGAATTATCTAGCGTCGCCCACTCGTCGCCGCCATCGCTCCAGTCTCTCCACACGTCCTTGGGAACTATATCTAGACGCCCACAACGAAGCGTCGCAAAGTCGACATCAAAGGGATGTGCTTTGAATGTTTCACCTGAGGCGCGTGCATGGTTCATGAGATCGAGTTTGTACATGCGTACTATTCTCGCAGCTGCACGAACAAACAATTCCTTCTGTGCATCGTTGTCCCAAATGTCTTCTGTCAGCATCATGACCATGCGTGAGATGTTGGGAAAACTCCGCAGAACGTTGGACAGGCTGCCGTCTCGAAACCCATGTAGAATGACTTTGGTTATGGCAATAGTTCTCAGTTTTGTTGGATGGCAGCCAGTCGCAAGGAGAAAATGAGCCAACAAGCCCACTTCTGGTGAATCATCGTAGTGTTTCACGCGCGGCCCATGGAGCTGAAGTAGTAAAATGTCTGTGTCCATGCGGAAATAGAAATCGTCACAACTTGTTCCCGCTTGTCCAGCAGGGAGATGGACAATGTGGTTGGCCTTGGTGGCCTGATAAAGGGCTTCTGTACGCGACTCCTGGCACAGGTTCACGGCTATGGGAGCCGGGCTGGGGCAATACCGCGGGCAGAAGTGCTGCTCGTCGTGCCCCTCATCGTGAGGCTTGGTTTCCAAAGCCACTAGCCGAGGTGGTTCGTTGAGGTATACATTGGCCCAAATTTGTAAGCGGAGTTCTTTGGGCAGCAGTGATATGGCCATGTCTAGAATACTAGTAGTCGCGACAATGAAGCGGGGGGTGGGGGGTTGAGTGGAATGGGCGTTCTAGAGGGTTCGGAGACTACCGAATCTGGACATCACGTGATAGTGCACCTCAGTAGCCATCCCCAACATCTGGGTTTGCGACATTACGAGTCCACTCCACTTTGCTCCACAAGTTGCGGACACTTTACTTGATCCCGTTAACTATCCTCCATACACATAAATGTATGTACTACGCCGGCAGTAAAAAGTGTGTGTTTATCGGTCTGGAGGATCCCGTCTGTCTCGGCGTCAAAGTTTTCTCGGTCTAAAGTCGCGTTATGTCTGGAGATACAATGGCCACGGCGGTGTAGTTGGTGGAGATGCGACCACAGATTCGACCATACTGTGCTCCCCCCGTGTCCCTGCGCTAGAGACTTTCCGCCCAGAAGATCATTCCGCTTCTATGCAATTGCAATGGGGGCGATGTGGCACAGCCCAATGGCGAGTCATTGTGAAAAAGCAACCGTCTTGTCGCGACGTCGTGGCGAAATGTTGAGGCGGATTGAGCACTGTCGACAGCCAGGTATGGGGCTCTAGATATAGAACGCCTACACGGGAGACGCATGTCCAGGATGGGCCTGCAGGCTACATGGGCAGCAAGACGAGCGGGGAGCGGCCTGGAGTACTTAACACTGAGTTCTTGATGAGGCTCTAGGTGGATTCGCGACGGGTGTCCCACTGGAGTCCCACTGGAGAAATGGACGGCGCCAAAGGATGTGGAGCTGTTGGTTGCGCGACCCGCTGTATGTGAAGTCACACTGACATCGGCGCGGATGCGATGCCGGGCAAAAGGTCTAGTTTTGTTGGCATTGGGCTTGATCGACGATTCGGAGGGCGTTCAATGGCTTGCCTCTGGGGCGAGGAGGAGGCTGAAAGATTTGAGGCTCCATGTGACAAGGCTGGGCATCTTTGCAGCCGCGTTGTTGGCCGTGGAGCTCTTCCCCCTCCCCCGCTTTAAAGCCAAAACCACCCCTCTTGCAGCGTCATACGGCAGACACCGCACAGCAACGGCACGTGTCTTGACCCCCGACGACTGCCGATTAACCACCGAATCCTCCCGTCTTCTACCTACGATGCTCTCCCTGCGATCTACTCTCTACCACTTCACTTTCAATCCGTGAATTCGACTTCCCTTGCCCCGGCCTTTTCTTGTCGCGAGCGCCTCTTGTTGCTCCGTGCCCGAGAACCAAGGCCGTTCTTCACACATCACAACTCATACACGTCTCTGCACGAAAATCACAAAGCATTTAGTGTATTGTGTGACCCAACCGCCGTCGCCAAAAATTCTTCCGGACCTCGACTGCGCCTGAAATTGCTGTCAGCGCCCAGTCCTAGAGAGCGCCGCCGCCGAGTAACCACTGTATCTGTCGCGCTTACCCCACAGCTTCGATCGCAAACGGAAAGCCATTCTCGCATTAGAGGATCGATCTGCGCATATAATTGCAAGCAGAAACACAAAGTTTACAGTATGGCGACACAAGACATCTCTGCGCACGCAACTGAACCTCAGCCGGTGCCCAAGGAAGAGATTCAAGACGAATCGCAATCGCATTTGGATGAAGGGAAGCTGAAACAGTTCTTTATCGGATCCATAGATCAAGGAACTACAAGTACTCGCTTTATTATTTTCGACGGTCTCGGTGAGCCCGTTGCCCAGCATCAGATTGAATTTACCCAAAAGTATCCTCAATCAGGGTCAGTAGATATCTGCACTAAAGCCAAAACTTATCTCTAATCGGCACAGATGGCATGAACACGACCCATGGGAGATTATCGACACCGTGGAACAATGCATCGACAGGGCTACAAACATTTTTTTGGACAATGGCCACAACATCGAGGACATCAAGGCTATTGGCATCACTAACCAGCGTGAGACGACAGTGGTGTGGGACACTACCAACGGCCTGCCCATTTGCAATGCAATCGCTTGGTACGTATAGCACATGCACAAAACGCACATGCGATTTAGCTGACCCCGCTCGTCTATCGGTAGGCCAGATACCAGGACCAAGGGATTGGTGCGTGAGCTGAAGGATCGCAAGGGTGCTGATGAGTTGTTGAATCTGACTGGTCTTCCTCTATCAACCTACCCGTCATCGGTCAAATTGCGATGGCTGCTTGATCATGACGAAAAGGTGAGGAGTGCGTACGAAGAAAAAAGACTTTCGTTTGGCACTATTGATTCATGGATATTATACAACCTGAACGGTGGAAAGGATGGCGGAATTCACGTAACAGATTCAACTAATGCATCAAGAACCATGTTCGTCAACCTGTAAGTTATCCGTCCGCCACTATATTTAGCCAAAAGCGCCAGTATTCGCTAACGCGCTGACAGGCACACCGTTCAATACGATGACAAGCTTCTGGACTTTTTCGGAATCGACCGTACCAAGGTAAAATTACCAAAGATCGTTCCGTCTTCATCACCAGATGAATTCGGTTACATAAGAACCGGCATATTGGAAGGTGTACGGATTGCAGGGTGTCTCGGTGATCAATCTTCGGCTTTGGTTGGTCAACAAGGGTTCACGCCTGGTTCTGCAAAGAATACGTACGGCACCGGGTGCTTCCTGCTGTACAATGTTGGCGAAAAGCCTGTTATCTCTTCGCACGGCCTTCTGGCTACTGTCGCATACGATTTTGGCGGGAAACGGAAGCCAGTATATGCACTCGAAGGAAGCATTGCTGTTGCGGGCAGTGGCGTCAAGTTTCTCATGAACAACATGGGCTTCATTACGCATTCGCACAAGATTAGCGACTTGGCAGCCTCTGTGGAAGACAATGGTGGATGTGTCTTTGTCACGGCTTTCAGTGGTCTTTTTGCTCCTTACTGGATCGACGATGCGAAAGGCACCATATTCGGAATCACTCAATTCACAGAGCGTGGCCACATCGCTCGCGCAACCCTTGAGGCAACATGTTTCCAGACAAGGGCAATTCTTGACGCTATGGAACTGGATAGTGGTCACAAGCTTAATATGCTTGCAGTGGATGGTGGCATGAGCAATTCCAATTTGTGCATGCAGGTACGTGAATGCTAACTTGATATTTTTGGAAAGTCTTTTCTTGCTGACCACAAACAACAGACTCAGGCAAATATTATTGGCATTCCTGTAGACCGTCCAGCAATGCGCGAAACTACTGCGTTAGGTGCAGCCATCGCAGCTGGATTTGCCGTTGGCGTATGGAAAGAATTTGATGAGCTGAAGGAAATCAATCAGAAAGATCGCATGATTTTCAAACCAAACGTGGACAAAGAAGTAGGAGAGAAGATGTTCAAGAAATGGGGACGGGTAAGTCATCATTATCCAGAGGTTGTGGGTGACGAGTAAACTGACTTTTTGTTCTAATCTAGGCTGTTGAGATGTGTCGCGGCTGGCTAGATGCTGGCGAAGCTAATGGGGAGTTCTCGTAATTTGCATCTGTATTGGAGACTAATATATCCATAAACGCTTCAGTGCATTTCTCCTTGCCACCAGGAAGTACGGAGTTGGGAAACTTGCTTCAGAATACACCAGTTACATTGTGATATGGATGCCTATGCTCCAGTTGGGCTACAAAGTAGGTTGACAATCGACAAGATAATGTGGGCCAGGCGGAGTCTTATAACCGCTTCCAGTATTGACACTGCCCCAGCACGGCGTGGGAATGAGAATTGACAGTATCGGTATTGGATAAGCTAGTTCAATCCTTCTGTAACATTGCCATCCACATGTGTACTACCTCATCTTCAGCCTGAATGTCCCGTGCGTTTGGTCAAAACAAAGTAGCATGTAAATCACCTACATGCTTAGTAGAATTGTACGTAGTGCACCAATGACATGACGCCAATAAGGCTGCCAAGGTGTCAATACGGTCAGCGCACGCGCATGTTGCCTAATGCAGGCTTCTTCGCGTCTCACGCCATTGTCATGCAGATGCGGCACGACGTAGCATAACACTAAGCTGAATGTAGTTATATTGGGAATCAACATTGCCGATTACTCACTGATATCTTACTCGGGCAGAAAGATACCATGTATGAATAGCACCGCAACGACAATAACATGGTATATAACAAGGAATATATGTAGTAGCTTGTCTGTCGTATCGAACTTCCCCGTCTGGGCATTGTGGTCGAAAACCTGCTTCTTTCCCCCCTCAAATGAGCCCAATCATCCACCAGTAACGTGAAAACTGGTGTCAAGACGATCAGATCCCCAGGAATGGCATCCCAGTATTTTCTCCAAATGCCTTGCAATACTTTCTTGGTCAGCATTTGAAGACCAGCTACACATGCCGGTTCTACGCTGGAATCCTGATTCCAGGCCCATGACTAGGAACGGAGCATATTACCCTTTCATCTATTTTCCTGCAGCAGGTCCACCTTTAGTAGTACACAGAGGGGTGGTACGTTGCTTGCTTCCGCGGACGTGTACCGGGTGCCTGGTCCTCATGTGTCTGCATGTATCAGGTACTGTGCGTTTCAGGACGACATGTAAAAGATGTGGTTTTGCCATTGAGTTTTTTTAGAGCAGAGTAGCACTTCCGGTTGTGCCGAGTGTGCTGTCAAAAGACATGGTACAGTTTGAAAGCATCCTGGAGCTGTCTGTGTCCACATGAGTGAGTGGACGGACAGCGTAGCGGTGTAGGCACGAGTCAAAGAAAAGCCACTGCCAATCCCATTGCTAGGAGCAAGAAAAAGGGCGATACGGGGAGGATGGATACACGTGGCTATGTGAGGGAAATATCTACGTATGTTTGTGGCGTCACATGGTACTGGTCTACTAGTACCGAGTGATAGCCGATAGTACTTAGTGGACGCCGTCGTCGGCGTTTTGTAAACGGCGTCATTTCGCGGTTATACTGCAATTGTCGTTTGGATACAGTCAGGCCGGTGAGTGGGGGTCCAGACGTACGTACCGTTGGACTATGTCACACAACCATACAGACTTGCAAGTAGTCGCCGTATGCGGGACGGCAAGCGATGATTGCGCAACACCTGACCTCCGGATGCTTTCGCGATGCAAAATGGGACCGGGGAAGCGGGACAGCAAGCATTGAGAATGAAAAATCGGTGAGTAAACGGTGCAGCCAAGTACCTCAGTTGGAGGATGAAACATGTGCCGCAATACCACAAACGCGTCGTGTTGGCGTGGATGGGCGGACGGGCGAAGCCATAAAATGCCGCTACGACGACGTATATCCATCAATACTCGACGTTGTGCTTCGAGATGCACTGGATGTGGGAACCAGAGCGACCCCGGCCTCGAAGCTTACTTTTGTCTGCCGTCAGGGATACTCCAACGGCTGCAGGCCACCCCCCGGGCACCTCGACATGCAACGGTACAGGTAAGTCGTAGATCAACCCTGACCTGTGCGCGCCTGGTGGCTCCGAACTTAGTGCATGGGGAGGCTTGTCCTTGCCACCAGATGGCCTCTCCGCTGATTGTCACACCCCTGGGGGGTCAAACCGACGTTCATTACGCACGCTACCCTACCATCTTATCTCCTGGACATGGGGACATCCCGTTAATCCGCTCGGCGTCCGCATTGGGCTGCAAGCTTTCGCTCAAGGTTGTTGGAAGCGAACAGACTTCAAACATGGACGTCTCCACCCAGCTCTATGGCGTGGAAAAGGCTCGACCACACATGAGAACCCGGTCCCGCTGAGCATCCATGTCCGCTACAATGATGCATGCCTGCTGCTGATGGACCAGGTTCAGTCGACATGGGCCATAGTGGCTCTGCATAGCTCCACGGGTACCTGACGACTATCCAGTTGCTGTGTCTGGAGACTACTATAACATAACGGACCGTCGCGCATCTGCATGCCAATAATCAAGCTTGAAAATTCTCCATCCAACGTACCAACTGCATTGCTTGCCTTACCGTCCCATTCCCACCTTTTGCCACATTTCTGCGGACCCTGTGCCCACCCTACGACTGCACCCCTCACACCCTCTTAGCCATCTCTCCTAGACCCATCATGTGCGACTATACACAAGTGCAGTACAAGTGTACGCATGTACGATATGTTGTCAAGGCATGGTGTACCAAATATCAACAAACTCACGTACGGTGCCCGGCCAATGTCACTGCAGTGTAAGAACCCGCATGCCAATGCAAGCAACTGCCTCGCCATACTAACACCTGGTCTTAGAGAATATAGACTGAACGACAATTGCGGTTCGTAACACTTAGCCTCATACGGCATTTGATCATGCTTATCCATACTAACATTTAACCTAGGCGATTGTAGACGATGACATGCACCAACCCCAGTTCCTCCCATTTCTTGTCTGTAAAAACAAAAAGTTGTGACATTACGCGGCGTTACATGGTGGACTTTCGCATAATACCCATTTTGGAATTATTTTTTCTCGGCACCTGTTGATCTACTAGTCGAATTGCATCATCATTGTCCTTCACAAGAGCCACATTTCTCTCTCTCTCGCCATTGTCGTTTCCTTTCCCGCAACAAACACACACACACACACACACACACACACACACACACACAATTTCTCTGGATACTGAGCCGAAATTGCAGTCATCAGGGTTCGACAAGTCGCTCAAACGTCACCGGAATCCTTTTCTCCCTCACCAACCCAAGGGGTCCAGACTCGACGGAGGGCATCCCGTGCTTCAATCTTCCCCAACCGGCCTTGGGCAACACGGAGCGCTCATGATTACCCCAACTGTCAAGGCGAGATTCAGCATTCCCCAATAGTTCAGACAGTGTGCTTGTACTGCATTAGCCAAAACCAATTCAGTGCAGGATCATCTGTCTGCCGAAATTCTATCGGGACGGCGACAACTCCGGAGGGTTGAAAAGACACGCCGCTAGAGCAAAGTGGCCGGCCGCCGCCTAGGAAGGTGGAACACGAACGGGATTCGGAAGACGCACACAGCCGATTGATTTGTCTACTCTTGCCTTCTTCCGTTTCATGTTTGACATGCAGTTCGCCTGCAAAGGAAAATCACCATGAGAGCCGAGAAACATCAGCCCTTCGGCACAATCTCGGCCTGCGCATCGTGGCCCTAAGCTTCGTATCCATGACGGAGCGAAGAGCCCGTGGGTGGACAGTGCCTGTCTCGCATTTCCATGTGGACGCCTCCAGATGGCTCGGTTTCAGAGTTTTGAGCCAGATGATATTGCGACGAGGGAGAGCGTGGTGGTCTTTTTTTGGTTTGTGTGTGTGCGTGTCGGATGGTAGCGGGAGTTTGATGGGCTTGCTTTGGGGCGTTTGGTATAGAATGTGTACATAGTACTATGTACGGGCTTGGGCGTGTCGATTCAGGCACACATGCAGCCATAGTCGACTTATGCAAGTCACCCAATGGATGTGTGGAACCACAGCCCCGTGAAAGAAGCATATAGGGCATCAATACAGAGGTGCCTCCCAAAAGTCCTTGCTGACAGGGGTATCTATCGGCCCGACTATCTTGGCACCCACACAGGTTTTTTTTTGAGCTGGAGGCATAGATATACTTATTTTTTTTAGTATTTTTAAATTAACCAGCCCTTTCGCTTGCCTGAGATGTCCGGCCATTTCGGTTCCGCGAGACAATACAGAGGTGCCTCCCAAAAGTCCTTGCTGACAGGGGTATCTATCGGCCCGACTATCTTGGCACCCACATAGGTTTTTTTTGGAGCTGGAGGCATAGATATACTTATTTTTTTTTAGTGTTTTTAAATCAAATATGGCTCTAAATACTAATATCTGTACCTATGCCTTAATTGTTACATTAAAATCTTCTTTTGGTGGTAAATCCACTAATTAGATTAGTATAATAATAGGTATTTTACTACGTACGATTAACTTAATTTATAGTAGAGC